TCACCATTAAAATTTTTAGTTAGTTATTATTAACTACATTGAATGGAATTATGCTTTTTCAGGTCATACTCATGTTGCAGAAGCACTTAAAGTTCCACTCCACATCTTTTTCACTATGCCATGGACGTACGTGATACTGATATGTCTCTTCTTCTATTGCTTTTTTTAGTTTTCTGAGAGTGCCAGTTAGGAGGGATAGGGTGAGTTCCGTCCTTTTACTGATATTCTTCTTTTTATATTTTTAATTTTATTTTCTTCAGGGCTACAAGTGAATTTTCACACCCTCTTTCACGGGTTCGGCAACCTGTGGCAAATAGAGTAAGCAGCTTTGATTATTGTTATAATTCCAACTAGTTACTTTATTATTTGTACTCATGGGATCGAACACTATTATTATTGTTAATAAAACAGTCCCTCAAATTCTTGTTTGTTGCAGCTGTCATATCAGATTGTTGATGCATTAATTTGGATGGGGATGCGAGATATAATTAATGAGTTCAGGAAGAAAAAGTTGAAGCTAAGACCTATTACATATTTAAGTGGTTCATATAGTTCTCCACATGATTTGCCTTACGGATATATTTGGAGTCCACATCTTGTTCCCAAACCAAAAGGTATGACTGTCTATATTTAGTTTACACATAAATTAACAAACATGCTGATGCTGCCTATAATTGGATTAGTTATGCTCCATATCATCTTGTCCCCAAACCAAAAGCTCTTCAAATGTCTCTGTTACTTTCACTATACTGTCTCACAAAATTCTGAAATAGATACTATAGGCAATTGGTTTATGCAACTTTGTATTTCAAGTCTTAAATTTATTAAAAAATTGTGCCTTGGATACATTTTAATATTGGCCTTAGTGTACCACATGCTTCTAAAAACAAGTATTTAAAAGGACTAAAAGCAAGAAATAGCAACATATATTCATTTGATTGTGTATTATGTATTATAGCATCTTACTTACATTTCTTTCTGTTACAACATTGTAGTTTTTTTCTTATTGAGGCATTGCACTTTGAATTTTTCTTATTAGGACTCTGTAATTTGAAAAACTGTCCAATGATAGCAAGGCAAGGAAAATTGTTTTGTATTTGGATGACATTGAAACAAATCAATGGAAGTACATTGCTGTTTCTGTAATCCAAAAAAAAAAAAAAAAAAAAAAATGGAAGATAACAATCTAATCTATACATATATCGTGGATGCTTATTGTATAGTAATGATATGTGTTGTTGATTTGATTAATTTCAGATTGGGGTGCGCATATTGATGTTGTAGGTTTCTGTTTCTTAGACCTTGCATCAACTTATGTACCTCCAGATCCCCTACTGGAATGGCTTCAAAATGGTAAAAAGCCCATCTACATTGGATTTGGTAGCCTTGTGAGTTTTTTGTTTTTTTCCTCTCAAATGTTACATAAATAGATTAGATTAGATAATACAACCACTTAAAAGTAACAACTCCAATACCCCTTGACTAAAAGCAGCAGCAATACAATAGTTTTAACTGTTTGTAATTGATTTGATGACACATGACACAGCCTGTTCAAGACCCTGATGGAATGACAAACATAATTGTGGAAGCCCTAGAAATTACACAACAACGAGGTATCATCAACAAAGGCTGGGGTGGTTTAGGAAACTGTAAGATCTTTATCTTCCTCTACTTTTCCACCTCATTAATTATATATATTTAAAAAATAATAATAATGCTAATTGCTATATATATATATATACAGTTTGTTTGTTAATATTGTATATGCGCAGTGGCCAAGTCGAAAGATTTTGTATACTTGCTGGATAATGTTCCACACGATTGGCTATTCCTACAATGTGCTGCTGTGGTACGTAAATTTTTTTTATACATTTTCATTTGTGTAAAAATAAAAAATTATTTACTTTTTGCAGGTTCATCATGGTGGTGCTGGAACAACTGCTGCTGGTCTTAAAGCTGCGGTGAGCTTGCTTTTATATCATATGGAAAAAAATCCAAGTATTGTTATTTTTATAATAATGTATATAAATTACAACAGTGTCCAACAACTGTGGTTCCTTTCTTTGGAGACCAACCATTTTGGGGAAAGCAGGTTCATGCTAGGGGAGTAGGCCCCCCTCCAATTCCTGTGGAGGACTTCTCGCTCAAGAAATTGGTTTCTGCAATACACTTCATGTTAAAACCAGCGGTAAGTAAAACAGACAATTATACTTATTTACTTTTGTCATAATATATATATATATATATATATATATATATATATATATATATATATATATATTTACTTATTCACACACACACACACACACAGGTGAAAGTAGCTGCTACTGAACTGGCAAAGGCCATGGCGGATGAAGATGGGGTTAAAGGTGCAGTGGATGCTTTTCATAAGCATTTTGGTCGCAGAAAAGCTCAGTCTCCACCTGCAAAACATCCAACACACTTTTCACTTTCAGTCAGACATTGTCTGGGTTGTACTTAGACTTCATATTCAGGTCTCCTCACTTTTGTCAATACCTGTAAATTTTATTTTTATTTTTCGACACAATTGATATCAGTTGAGAGACCAGTTTGATTCCTATTTCTCTTGTTTTTTCTTCTTTTTGGCTGGATTGTGTTATGTATAGGAAGGTTCTTATAAAGTTTATGTTGAAAGAAATCTAAATATGGGAACTACGCTAAAATTCATTCAATGCCATTGTCATTCATTCTAATAGTAATGCTTTATCAACAATGTGATGCATTCATGATTCATTTAAAATAAATGATTTCTGATTATGATATGTAAATTATATACTATATCATAGAGTTGATGGTGATGTGAAATAAAAGAATCATATTATACATGTCATCCGATACAAATGTTTTCCAAATGTAAAGGGTAGTCACTAGTCAGTCATCCCACATGCATTCCATTTCTTTCAATATAAATCATTTAAACGCATTATAACATTATTAGTTACTATTACTTAATTAATACTCGAGTAGTAAAAAACAGTGTATACACTAATTAATATTCTTTCGTATATCCACTATCAAATACAGACAAATCTTTCATAATCTTGTCTAATTACAAGACAATTAGTGGGATATATTAAAGGAATATGACCTCGTTGGGTAATATATAAAATCTTTTATATTATTCATATTAAGAAATAAGAATGTTGGGTGTATTTATATTGAAAGGCCACATGTGGATGATTGATCACTTTTTTATTTTCGCTTATACTTAAGGTACTACTTCTACTACTTCATACTTATATTATATACATTCCTTTTAAAAATCTTAAACGGAAATCCTTTGTATTGTATGATAACAGATAACTATAATATATTTGATAATTTGATGACTTTTTCTTTCTTTTTAAAAGTGGGGATAATTACTTATAATGTATTTTTTATTTTGTACACATTTAGTCATTGCATTTTTTTTGTTCATATTTGACAATTTAACCTTTTTGTCCATATTCAGTTCTTATAACTAGCGTTAAGCCAGAAAAATGACTTAATATGATAATATAATTTTCAGTTTGTACACATTTAGTCATTATGATCGGTTTCATGTTTTGCTCATAGCATTCTATGTGGGACAATCATTAATGAGGCGTTCTCATACGTGGCTCGTCCCTCACTTATGTCATTAACCTAATTCACGAATCAATCAAATAATGTTGGTGACTTAGGCCTCGTTTGTTTTTCTACAAAAGTACTTTTTGAGCATTTTTCCCTTCTGGCGGGTAGACGTTTTTTAAGTGGACGTCTTCTTCCACAAACATGAAAAAAGTCAAAAGACATTTAACCACTTCCAAAACAAACAACGCCTTAGTTTTCTCCAAGCAGAAGATGTCTTCGGCTTCGGTTTCATCTATCTTAATGAGCAAAACCTGAAGAAACCAGTCATAAGAACTAAATGTAAACAAAAAGTTAAAGACTAAATTTATGCAAACTGGAAATTATATTACCCTGTTAAGTCATTTTTCTGGTTTAACTTGAAGTAACCGGTTATAATAATTGAATATGGACAAAAAATAAAAAACAAGTTAAATGGTCAAATATGGACAAAACCAATTAAATAACTAAATACTAATACAAAATAAAAAATGAAAAATTAAATTGCTTCTTATTTAATATTCCTATTTCATCTTTTTACCCATTTAATGATTGTCATGTGTAAAATACTAATTTGATACACCTTATCCTTTGATTTTGACACTAATTTGATACACCTTACCCTTTGATTTTGACACTTCTGATAATCTTGTAAGTAGAATGATAAGTAAGAACATTTAATAGGAAGATATTTAACATTTCATAAAAAATACATTACTCTATTAAGTTATTAACCATTAAAGTATCTATATATTTGGAAACGTATGAAACAATACTGGTGGTGTCAATAATAATTCAACAAAATGGAATTAAAACAACTCAAACGTTTCAAAATCGATTTTTTTTATAAAAACTTAGTGATTTTAATAGAATTTGTTATTTTGTTACACACCTCAAAATAAAAATTAATATATTTTGTTAAATAACAAGGATTAACCTCAAATTTTATGATGTTTAGACTAACATCACTCTTGAAGTCTTAACATTTTCGAGTGTATATGTATAATTGTATATTAACCTCAAAACAAACCATCCTTAGTCACCGATGATATGTTAAATGATTATAAATGAGAATGTGGCCTTTACATATTTTCAGAAATAAAAAAACACCACCACATCTTTACAACTCCAAAAAATAAAATATTATATTGTCTATAAATAACAAAAAAAATATTAAATCAAACCTTTGATCAACGTTATAGATCCTAAACCCAAGTCCAAGTCAAAGATCACGTGTTAACTATCAAGTCTAGTTGATTAACAAAATAAGAAATTAACTAAACGCCAAATACACTTTTTAATTCTCCAGAATTAAACGTCTATTAAGTGCTTATTAGAACAAAATGAACCCTAACATAACCGACAGTCAGAAAAAAAAAATGAAAAAACAGTTAAGCTTGGGACCTGACAGCATTCCAGAGCTTTACCCATTCTACCATCGTGTCAGCAGCACCGGAAAACACCGCATTTGATGATCCCAGCCGCTCCTTCACCGCCGCAGCCACCTCCATCACACAATCCTCCGCCGTCACTGCCTCCGGAGACAGCTTCAACGTCTCAAAAAACGGAACCACCTCCTCCATCAGCTTCACACCTTCCCACTCTTTCCTCAAACTCTCCACCGCACTCCCCTTTTCGTTCCTCCAAACATACGGAATCCCACTTTTCACACCCAACTGCAAATGATCACACACCACTTTCACCACAAGACCACACCATATATCCTCCATCGTCTCCCACCGGACCTTCCCTTCCTTCACCAGCTTCAACGCCGGCATCACGACGGCGCCCACCAGCTCCCGGTCAAACGCGATGTTGATTCCACTCATCGGCATCATTGCCTTCGAAGGAACAGTCAAAACAGCATCGACATACCTCGTGTTCTTCAGATCTGGTTTCAGCGCTTGTGTTGGTGCATCGTAGTCTGCTATATTAAGCCAAAGCCCACATGAAATCGCACAAGGTACGCCGCTACGTAGACTAAACGGGTATCCACGAACAAAATCGGATCCCTTCTGATATGGATCGTAGAGAGTATTGAAGAAGAAAGGAGTCGCTGGAGTTTTAAGGTTGTTGATGTGTCCGGCGACTATGTCTACCAAATCACCGTTGTTTGTTTTAGCCGGCGTGCAGTCATCGTCGATTGAAATAATATACTTTTTATCGGAAACGAGATAGCCGAAATAGCGACAGGAGTAGCCGGAAAACAGAGCGATTTTAGAAGGACCGACGACTTTGACTATATCGGCCTCTGTGTAGACACGAACGTCAAAACCTTCGGCGAGTTTTAGCTCTTTAAGATCCGGATCTTTCACGATTATTAAGTGGAATCGAGAGAATATAGGTCGCCATTCCTCCATGAAAGACGTCAGATCAGATCGGAAAGCACCGATCACGATATCCACCTCCTTGTCGCTAACACTTGTTAGAGACATACTGTGATAAACCCTAGGAAAAAATGGAATCAAAGTGTTGAGAGATTTAACAGTTGAGGAATGAAGATCAAACAGCGGCCGATCTTATAAAAGCTTTCCTGAGTATCCTGGCATTAAAAATTTAAACATTTAGAAAGAACATCTCTCATGAAGATTTAAATTGGATCAAATCGAGCAGAACTTACTAATGGGAAGGATATTATTATGTGCTTGAATTATAGAAAGGATTTCCTCCTTCCCAGTTGCCACAACAAGTTTTAGAATCTTCCTGGTTACTCTCCAAGCTTTCGAGTTTATCTGAGAAATAAGAAATTTAAACTTTGGATTGATATAAATCAGTGACAGTAGCACTCATGTATCTTAAACAATCGTTAAAATTTCTATGAATGTTTAAAACCGGCCTGATATAAATCATAATGTGGATTAGTTATTGGTGATCCAAACCCTTATGAAGGTAAGATCTGTGATCCAAGAAAAAGGTTCACCTATTCAAAATTACCTATTTGTCTGTATCTAGTTTCTCCAAGTCCATCGTATTGACATTTATAGACACAATTAATTAAATATCAATGGACGTTCCGATCCAAAATCCGAGTTCGTATATTAGATCGTTCATCGCATCATCTTCCTAATATAGACAGCATAATCACTAACTACTCTAATTTAACGAAGCAGGATCATAGATAGGTTTCTTCCTCTTTTCCCCAATTCCTTACACCACAAAAAACCGACATTAAACACACAACCAGAACAACAAATACCACAGATAGATCACAACGACCTAAATATAGGACAGCTTGGGGTAAAGATCAGTATCAAAACGAACAGATATTCGAATAATGTTCTATCAAACGGACAACACAAAAATTTACAAAAATATGAAATCAGATTGACGGAAATAGTGTAACAAAAATGGAGCTGGAGAGAGTACGTACCAGGAAAAGATCGATGCGAATGTGTTGCGGGAGAAATGATAGATCAGAGATGTTATGGAAATTTGAAAGCCTTTGCGTCAATTGATGGGAATGAAGAAGGGCGTCGATTGCTCATTCATTCTCCTCTAATTTCTCTCTCGCGATCCAATGTTTATTTTTTCTTTATTTTTTTTATTAGTTCTCAAATCCAATGTTTTAAAAGTCTGTCTCATTGAACCGAAAATTATAGAAGTAAATAGTTCAATTAGAATCACTTTTGTGTTTATTTCTTGATCAGAATGAGCTGGCCGGGTTTTATAAAAACAGACTGAATCGATTAAATTGAATAAAAACGCATTTTTAACATTGAATTAATGATAGCCAATAGTTTATATCTCTATGAAGCCCGACGGTCGCAAGGAGAACAATGGGGGATGGACGGAATTCCGCCAAAGGAAATCCGATCTAAACCCCAACAAGGCGTGCGTTATCCTCCTTCTATGTCTCGAACATCCCTATGGGCACGAGTAGATTCACTATCATGGACGTCTTCAAAACTTATGGGAGAATAGAAGACGTATACCCAACCATAAGAAAGGAGAAGGGGGATATTTATTTGGCTTCGTCAAGTTTAGTGGTGTATGGAACGTGCTTGCTCTCGAGAAATCGCTGCAAGGGCTAATATGTGGGCACACCATTCTTCAGGTGAATATCTCGAAATATGACAAGCAAAATGGGAGGAAGACATGCATGAGGGAGGAAGCCCTAAAGAATACGGAAGGTTACACTCATCATGCTCATGAAACTCCGTGTCATAATGCATGGAGGGATCATCGGGACTCAAGATCATATGCCGATGTCGCTGGTCACCATCCATAGATTCCACGACCATCTGCCCCTGTGGTGAACTCCGTCACACTAAAACATGTATCTTCAATGGTAGGGTGGAACTATTGTACGGTGGTTTGAGAAGTTCTAAGTCTTCATCCTCTTACTGAACTCCCCAAACTTGTTGATGGGTTTTATAGGTTACAAGAACTATGTGTTTGCGAAATTTCACTTAACACTTAAATGCACATGCAACCTAAAGAATCTATGTCATACACTTTGAATGCAACATACTATGAACAATGATGTGACCTGTCACCGGGCGTAGATCTCCGCTGCTTCTAGTTGTTCTAGTAAACCTGCAAGGTCACAATAGGGTGGAACCGTCAGCCGTTCTCCGGGAGGGGATCCCGGGAGAACGCTCTGACGGTCAAGTCAGTACACGGACTAGGGTGGTTTTCTGTGTAAACTAGGAGAGAGCGACTTACCTTTCTAGGCACCAGAGGAGGCATTTTATACTGTCAGAGCTAACGATTGGTTCAGGTGGTAATGCGCTGAGCATCCTCCTTGTCGTCTAGAGCTGTTATGCTTTGTCACATAGTAGAAGACGCCCCTGGCGGGGTCGGGCCTTCTCCGCGAGCGACCTATGCTTAAGGGCGTCCGCGGGCGCGAGGTTCCGTCGGGCTTGCTCTGTTAGGTGTGATCTGCCTTGGGAGAGTTCTCTAGCGCGGCTCCTGACTCGTGCTGAGGGTACATCATCAAGTTCCCTAGTCCATTAGTCGTAGCATTGCTAGACTAACTATGATGTTCTGGACTAAACTGCTTGGTACACGCGTTGAGTTCTGATTCAACTGTCGCTTCGATTTTTCCGGCGACGTGACTGCCCGTTATGACAGTCGGTTACATCATTGCAGCAAGGATTTTGAATATCCCGCTTTTCCTTATTCTTTATAAGGGTAAGGATCCCCCCTATCGGTATAACCTTTTCCTCTTATTTCTCCTTCTTCCTCGTTTAAGGTTTTCTCTGCTTCCCTCTTGTCTTAATGGCTGCTCAACCTGGCATTGTTCCTTCTGATGTTGAATTCAAGCTTCTTAGTGATGCTTATGGCTTTTCCTTGATCGATGGTGTGGAATTTTCATCGGCTGACTCGATGATTTTTCTCCTCCTGCCAGCAAAGTTGGCATCTACCTGAAGACTTTCGACGCTGGTCTGTGTCTTCCTCTCACTGATTTCCAAGAGGAGCTTCTTCAGAAAAATGGTTGTAGTATTCAAATGCTTACCCCAAACGCTGTCAACAAGGTGGTAGCATTCGAGATGATTTTCCGGGCCAATGGCGTGCTTCCTGATTCCTTTGTTTTCAAGTTCTTCTTCCGGTTTAGCGCTACCGATGACAAGTACACGTTCTCCGCTTGACGCAGTGGCCATGTCTTAGTCGTTGAAGGCAAGACCCCTAAGAACTGGAAAGACAAGTGGCTATGGTTCAACCAAGATCGAGTTGGTCTCGGGCACTACCGAGCGAACAACTTCTCTGATGTTACTCCCAAACTATTTCCCCGTAATCAGGCTACCGCTGATCTTCTAAAGACCATCCAGCTTGTGCCTTCTTGGAGACGTTAGGGAAAAATTCCCATCTTTTACACCGTCATCGACGGTAAATGAATTTTCTTTTATTCCCTTCTACTCCCTCCCCCCCCCCTTTTCTGAAAAAGGAGAGGGAGTTGGGTCTGGGGATGATCACTGCTTTGCTCATAAGTTCTTCTTTGACAAGTGTCGATTCCCCTCTGTCCATGGACGACGTCTTGCGGATACGATATCGAGGGAAGTTAGAGCATTGCGAGATTGATCTTTCGAAACTCTTCCTCCGCCATGTTGCGCTAATCGGCTCGCCGTGAATCCTCCTCCGGTTGCGTTGCCCTTGGATGGTTCTTCTGCGACCGTTGGGGAGCAGCCTCTGATCGCTCAACCCATCATAACGGTTGCCCCGCCTCCGACCGTCGATCCTGGCATGCTGAGATAGTAGAGGATAGCAAGGACGACATTATTTCGGATGTCCGGCGAGCCATAGCCAAGAGGAAAGCCGTCGGGGCGATAGGAGAGACCTCCTCTGATGTTTTCAACATCGGGAGGCGCATTCATTCAAGATGTAATTTTACTCGTCTGCTGAGTTCGATATCCTCCACGCCGAAGGCTATTGTAGCGATCCCTGATGATGATGCACAACAGTCTGAGGGGGTTCACGGGGGCGTCTAAGCAGCCCATTATTCCAGTTCAAGTTGCTTCACAATCCAATCCCAGTCTTTCTTCCCCTGGGGGCCTCGGTGGGGATCCACTTCATCAATCTCCTCTGAGTGGGGGGTCTCCAGTTCTTAATGATCCTAGATCTGGTCTCTTTGTTCCCGCTTGGAATCTGCGAAATGATTATCGGTTATATGTCCGCGCTAATGCCATGGAGTTTGCCCGCCATGCCTTTCCACCCGTCACCGTTACTGATATGGATGTCATGGGTAGTCCTGCATTGGTCCACAACATGTCGTATGTTGCTGCCCAGGCGATGTTCTATTTGGTCGTTGGCTCCCGCTGTGTACAACTGCTACATGAGATGGGGCTTCTCATGCTTGTTGTTATGTTCGAGAAGCTGAGTTTAAGTGTCAGATCATTGAGCTTGAGAAAGATGTTCGTGGTTTCGATTAGAGGTACGTTTTGTTGGCATCGGAGAAAGCTACTGCTAAGGAAGTTCGGTCCGCCCTGGAAGTTAAGGTGGACTCCATGATACAGGTGTTGGGTTTTGAGCACTATAACACTCCTATGGTGCACATGCAACCCTAAATGCTTTGGATCTATGTTTTCTCTAATTATACATGCATTTTCAATTTTTCCAAAGCATTCTCCTAACTAGCATACAAATTGTCAAATGAACAATACAACTAGTTAGATTACTTACCTCTTAGAAGGACTTGTAGTTCTTGACCTTTAAAAGCTTGAGCACCTCAAGTGTGATGCCTCTAAGGGTTCACAAACACCAATATGTAAGAGGAGGCTTGAGAGAATAGGTTACTTGCACAAAATCAATATCACTCTTCAAGAATGTTGTGGCAACCGATTTTGTCTCTAGGGGGGTTTATTTATAGTGTGACAAATGCTAGGGTTACACTTTGTAAACCCTAATGACCTTTCATATTACTTAGGATCCATGGGTTAACCTTCATGGACTATCCATGGATTATCTCATTGGTCATGGATCATTAGCCCACACTATTAGAATCATTGATTTACACAATCAATCCCCATATATTTAATTAGTCTCTTTTGATCACAAAATTAATTCCAAATTAATTCTTGATCAATACTAATTAAATAATATGATTTCATATTAATATATTAATAAATCATAAATAACCTTATTCTCAAAAGTCCATCCTATCAAATTGCACTGGTGAAGGCAACCCAAAAGGACCATGTTACAATCGGGTCAAGTACATCCCAATTATAGTTATGGGCTTAGACACCAAATCCAACAGTCTCCCACTTTGATAAGTCTAATAACTATAGTTGGCAATGTGACTTCAGGATCCGACTTAGCAATCGTAAGCTTTCAAAAGCCGTTGTCGAACTCTGACCTAGTCAGTGAAACGTCCTTCGGATAAGGGATCATATACTCCTCTGTTCCCAAGATATCTATGCGGACAAATACATGGAACATAGTCATGCTTATTGTCCTGCAATTTGTTTCCCAATTTTTGCTATGTCTAACTCCTTATACAATCTACAAGCCAACTCATGACAATTTTCTTTCATACTTACTTCCAACGTATGATCGACTGTGTATAGTTTGAATAATTTTATTATTCTGGAAGTCAAAACATGCAAAGTGAAACAATAGTAAATAATTGACACAAGACAGTAACTTTACTTATAAATAAAACTCCTTTTATTTAGTCATCAAATGTCAATTACAATTTAGCTATTACAAGTTTCGATTTATCTAATTACTAAAACTAATATCGTCCGTTAGCCCAATGCCCCTCGCATGCTGCAAGTGCTTAACCCTAGTCAGTCCCTTTGTAAGGGGATCTGTTGGGTTGTCCTCTGACGATATCCCCTTTACCACGAGGTGTCCTTCTTCTACTTGATGTCTTATGAAGTGGTACTTTCTGTCGAGATGCCTAGATCTACCATGATCTTTCGGTTCCTTGGTTAAGGCAACCGCCCCTTCATTATCGCAGAAAATCTCCACAGGCTCCTTTATGGATGGAATGACTCCAATGTCTCCGATGAAGTTTTTCAACCACATCGCCTCCTTCGATGCTTCGCTTGCTGTTATGTACTCTGATTCGCACGTTGAATCAGCTACAGTCTCTTGCTTGGAAATTTTCCATGTTACTGCTCCTCCATTAAAGGTAAACACCTAGCCCGACTGAGAGCGGAAATTATCTCTGTCGGTTTGAAAGCTGGCGTCGCTATACCATGTCACTCTCAAGTAATCACTCCCACCGAGGGTAAGGACCCAGTCCTTAGTCCTCCGCAGGTACTTAAGAATGTTCTTAACCGTAGTTCAATGAGCTTTACCAGGATTCCCTTGATATCTGCTGACCATGCTCAAAGCAAAGGCCACATCAGGGCGAGTACAAGTCATAGCATACATGATCGAGCCAACTGCGGAAGCATACGGTATTCGACTCATCTCTGTTATCTCAACCTCTGTACTCGGACTTTGAGTCTTACTCAGTTTGGCATTGCCTTGGATAGGTAAGTCACCTTTCTTGGACTTCTCCATGCTGAAACGCTTCAACACCTTGTCCAAGTATGTACTTTGACTAAGTCCTATTAGTCTTTTACTCCTGTTTCTCAATATCCTTATCTCTAAAATATAAGTAGCTTCTCCGAGGTCCTTCATAGCGAAACACTTCCCAAGCCAGGACTTAACCTCCTGCAAGGTTGGGATGTCGTTTCCTATGAGCAGTATGTCATCTACATACAATACCAAAAAGCTTACTATACTCCCACTAGCTTTGACATATACACATGACTCATCCTCGCTTCTCGAAAAT